ATGGCCAGCGCCAGGAGCATCGAGCTGGAGCACTTCGAGGAGCGGGACAAAAGGCCGAGGCCGGGGTCGCGGAGGGGCGCGCCCAGCCCCGCGGGGGGCGGCGGCGGCTCGGGCCCCAAGGGGAACGGGCTCATCCCCAGCCCGGCGCACAGCGCCCACTGCAGCTTCTACCGCACGCGCACCCTGCAGGCCCTCAGCTCGGAGAAGAAGGCCAAGAAGGCGCGCTTCTACCGGAATGGGGACCGCTACTTCAAAGGCCTGGTCTTTGCCATCTCCAGCGACCGCTTCCGGTCCTTCGATGCGCTCCTCATGGAGCTCACCCGCTCGCTGTCGGACAACGTGAACCTGCCCCAGGGCGTCCGCACCATCTACACCATCGACGGCAGCCGGAAGGTCACCAGCCTGGACGAGCTGCTGGAAGGTAGGCGGGAGGGGGCGCGCGGCAGGTGCGGCCGGCAGGTGCAGGGGCCGGGCCCGCGCGCCCTGCGCCCGGGGAGCCCGCGGGCACTGCGCGCTGCTCTGCGCTTCCCCAGCGGGGTGCGGGTGTGGAGGGTCACCCGGCCCACACGTCCTCGTTCTTTCCCAAGACATTCACTCTTTTAAAAAGGAAAAAAAAAAAAAAAATTCTAATGGCTAGTGGCGAATTGAGGCATTGGTCGAACCCCTTAAGAGTGGCTAATTTATTTTTGTGGACATGCAAACTGCTTGGAAAAAATGGCTCTCTTGTAAGGAGCTGGGTCATCCCCAGGTGAGTGAGGTCCCCTGTGTGCATCCCAGCGCAGGCACCTGCGCTGTTGCGGTGCTTGGGACCTCGTTGTACCTGCGCTGCTAGGAAGTCGCGGCTCTGCAACGCTGTGGGTTGGCATTCCTAGGGCGGCTTGCTGTGCAAGTCACTTGAGGTCAGGAACGGTGATCCTAGATAGCAGGTTTCAGCCTTGGCTTCCTCCTGAAATCACTGGAGACTTTCAGAAAAGGGGTTCCCCGGCCTCCCATTCCTAAATATTACATATGTACTTGGCTCGGGGTGTGACGTGGGCATCTAAAATTTTTGTAAGCTCTCCAAGTGATTTTATTGTGTGGCCAAGATTGAGAACCACTGTGCTGAAGGGGTTTCCACGTTTCCTCCTTGGGAAACGAGGACAATCAAGGTCAGTAACTCCTGCCTCCTCCCTGGTGAGGGTAGCTCATTAGAATGATAGAGGCTATTGGAGTCAGCGGTTGGGGCTTGTTAAAAATTAGTAATCTTGGCGGTACAGCTGTGCGTCACTCCGGGGGCCCCCTTGGTTGTATGTTGGGTCATTCTTGAATTCTTGCAGTATTTACTCTTTTTTCCTTTCAGGGAGGAAGAAAAATGATAAGTAGTTAAGAACCTGTTCCCAGTTTAGAAAAGCACCCAAAAGGATGGGGCAGAACCCAAATAAGTCCTGACGGCATGTTTACATGTCCTTAGCGTTCATGTACCTTTCTTAATCCCAATTTTACATTCTTGTAGTCCTAGCAGTGTTAGGTTGGTAGGGAAGGAAACTTACAGTTGAACCAGGCATTTTATCTTATGTCATTTCAGCATGCTCTTGTTTTCTGAAGGCATTATGCCCATTTTACAGACGAGGAAACTTAATGTGTGTTGTTAACACAGCGGCTGTATCGTATGCCCTTTCATTGAGAGCTCTTTCATTTTGATAAATTACTATAATAAAATAGTGAGGAATCCTGAAAGTGATTGGGTTTCTCTATTTAGTCCTCGTTATTAGAAATTCTCCTTGCCCTGGCTAGATGACGGCTCAGCTAAAATTGTTTCTTCACTGTGTGTGTGTGTGTGTGTGTGTCCATGTCTTCATACATGCTCTTGGTCAGTAGTGTTTTGGTTCTAATGGTTTCAGAAGGAATTAAGAAAGCTGTAGGAGTGTAAATGGAATGAAGGAACTGTGGTAAAAGGGCCCCAGGGCTTTGCTTAATCATGTTATACTTTGTACCCAAAAGCAGCATTTGTTTGATGCTTCTCAACTGAGTAACCAGCTTTCTGACTCCAAGTCAGAGCAGTGACTTTGTGGAAGGATCAAGGGAACTCCTGTATTACTGTACTTACCCTCTTCTTACAGGCCCTTCTGATGCTGTGCCTGGTGAGGTCTTCAGAGGGTCAACAATTTTAATAGCCTTCTCCAAAGCAATTTTATCAGTGCATTTGCTACATAAGTTAAGATGCTTTGAAGATGAATATCATCGGGGAGAGATGACCAAGGTGACCATCTTGTGTGTTAAAGTATATGTGACATGTGAGTCTGTCATTACTTAGGGTATGCATGGTCCTGTGGGTCTAATTATTTTGAGGGGGTGTTGAGACAGGGTCTTGCTATGTAGTGCAGGCTGGCTTCAAACTCATGGGGGATCCTCCTGCCTCAGCCTCCCGAGTGCTGGGATTACAGGCATGTGCCACCATACTGAGCATAGGTTCTATTATTAAACTATAGTTTCAACTACAGGTTGATGTTTGAAAGATTTCCTTCAACTCATTCATCCATTGATGTACATTTTGTATAGAGTCCAAGTGAGTCCATTTTTGTATCGAGTGAGTCCATTTTTGTATAGAGTCCACATCATAATTAATAACCACATAATTACAACAGACGTTTGCACAAAAAATGTTTCTGTGGTGTTGACCACTTGATTCAAGCAGTTTTAACCTAACTACTACAAAAGAAAAAACTTCGGGCAGTTCTTTTTCTTTTGTCATGATAGAATTCTCTGACAGTGGATCTTTGTCTGATTCTTGAATTTCTCAAAATGGGTTGAATGTCTTGCAGTCATGCCTTTTTCCAGAAGAGAAATAACCCTCCATGCTTAATACCAATCGTTCTAGATGCAAATAGTTTTACCTTTTAGCTAAAATTGTGTTCAGAGGCTCAGATTTATCTTGTAGAACAACCAGCAACCTGAAGTTCTTCACATCAGCTGAAAGAGATCCAAACCTGAGTGCTTTATTTCATTTTATTTTTTTTTTCTCTTTAGTGAGTTGCTTTTAATGAAGACCTTCTTGGTATTTTATACCATTACGTTCAGACGTCCTGTCCCTGCCTCTTCTTTCTACAAAAGTTGTACTTTAGAAGATACTGTTTTTTTCTGAATGTTCTCGCTAGGAATAGAAAGCGGTGACCCAATGCCGCGCAGGCTGGAGCGCTCACTCAGAATCACAGTCCCATTGAACTTGGGTGACAAAAGAAATTTGCATGGCCCAGATTTTTCCCTTCTACCCTTGACCTTGAGAATCTCTGGAGACTGGAAACTGTTTTAGTGTCAGCCAACACTAGCTCTGCTAGCACTGCATTAAACCACCAGGCACCTTCAGGGTATTGATTTACCCACCTTGCTGGATTAATTTCCCTGAGTCGATGCTCTGCGTTCCTGTAACCCTGTTTGTTCTTTACAACTGGATGGGGACCTCCTCTTGTCCTAAGAGGACTGTGATTTTCAGTAGTCAGTATTGGGAAGATCAAGTTGAGCTGTCAGAGGTCGTGGGCTTGCCAGGCTCGGGGTATCTCTGATGGCCAGCTGGGGATGTTCTGAGGATGTATGCTTAGGTCCTTCTGTGCACGGTTGTGTCACAATGCTTAATCTTGGCTGTATTCCATGAGTCTTCTTTCCTGCTGAGCAATCCGGCTGTCTTTGTAAAATTTTGGTGTCCCTAAGAGACATCAGATAACCAAGGATAATAGAAATAATGTCTGACCACTTCAGGATTGCTGGGTTCTGCTGACTTGAGGTTTGACAAAAACAGAGCACAGTGTCTGGCCTCCGCGTCCTTTTCTGTAGAATGGGAGCTTGGCAGGTTCTCTGTCTGTGTGGCAGCCTTTCTGTTCTAATCCTCTGCACCCTTCCCTTACCCGAGTGGTTACTCAGAGTGTATGAGGAGCTGGGCTTTGTTTCCCTGGCCAGAACCCAACCTCTAGGACATGGACAAGGCTGCACTATTGAACAGGGAGGCGGGTGTGGGGTTCCGTTGCAGTGTTTGCCAAGAGCCAAAGACATTTACAGCTCTTGGGCTCTGCCTCTCTCGTTCCAGTGTACAGTGTCATTTATGTTATTTCTGTCCTTTACTCAGCTGCAGTTGTGGCATGTGAGATAATTTTGGTGATTTTGATAAGCGATACTTTGATTGCTTCATTAAGTTTTTTTTTTTTTTTTTTGCAGAGGAGTACCAGGAATTGAACTCAGGCCCTCACACTTGGCGGGCAGGTGCTGGGCCACTGAGCCAAATCCCTAGCCCAATTCCTTCATTAAGTTAACTCGAACATTTAAGAAAAATAAGATTCAAAAGAAATCAAGCACCCAAAGTTCTCCTGCCAGTCCTCACTCACTGCACATATTTGGTTAGGCTAGTCTCTTTCTTTGGTTGTTTTTTTTTTTTTCCCCAATACCAGGAATTGAACTCACAACCTCGCTCTTGGCAGGCAGGAGCCGTGCCGCTGAGCTAAATCCCCAGCCCTAGGCCAGTCTCTTCAAAGACGTTCAACCAAAGTGTGAGAGGTGTTGTATAAAGATGAACCTCCATCAAACCCAGATCATACTTGGCTATCCCCTGTGATAGTTAACTGTTGTGTCAGTTTGAGTAAGAAAGGCCCAGCTGATTGGATCAGCATAGTTCTACTTGTGGCTGAAGGGATTTACTGAAGACAGAAGACACCCCTGGGTGTGAGTGACACTAGCCAATAGGCTTGTAGCCTGAACGGAGTAAAAAGGGAAAGAAGCTCTAGTCTTCCATGTTGGCTTGGAATGTCTGTCTTCCAAGGCAGACTCCTCAGCACCCCCAGCTCACTCTTCAGCTTTCTAATGTAGACCTGTCAGCTTCCAGTAGGACTCTGGTGAGCTCCAGGTCTTCCAACTTTGACTGGATCGTTGGGATCTGTGTTTTTCCACACCACACTGTGACCGGTTACTCCAGTGATCTTTGTCTAATAACCTCCCTCAATGGTAGATTTTAAAAAACAATAGAAACTGAGCTTTTGGAAGGTGTTATGGAGAAGAAACTTAAACCTTAGGAGATATTTGCACAATAGCTTATATATGGCAGTTTAACGTGGAAACTTAGTTCTTCAAAGTCTTCTTTACCTGGCAGACTCCTAGATTCTTTAAAGCCATTTTGAATATCACGTCTCTCTGAAGTTTTCCCTCAGAACTCGGGGCACGTGGCCTCAAACAGTTGTTAATAGAAGGTAGATTATGCAAGGCATCATTGCACGTGTTGGGTGATGGTCTCTTCCCTCACTGAGCTCACATGCTGTGGGGAGAGAGCAAACTTACGTACGATCGGTTCAGGGAAAGTGCTGTAAACAGTGGAAATCAGATGGGGCCAGAGGGCCAGGTTGGCTGAGGTGATGGAAGCCTTCCCAGAGGAATGGATGTTGTACCCAAGGCCTGAGATCTAAT